CAGACCCCCACACCAGCTAGCTACCAAAAAAAAAAAAAAAGCTTTTCCTGTTTTTTGTTTTTACTTTTTTTAGTTTTTTTTGTTTGGGGGAGGGCTTGGTGGCTGGCCGTATATGGAAAAAATTTTTATTGTAATAAAAGATACATAGCATATAATTATCGTAACCATCTTTATACAGTTCAGTGGCATTAAGTACATTTACACTGTTGTGGAACCGTGACCACCATTCATTTTCCAGAACTTTCTCATCTTCCCAAATTGAATCTCTGTACCCATTAAACAACTCCCCATTCCTTGTTGGTTTTTTTTTAAATTTTGCTTTGTTTTGGTGAATGGCTGGTATGGGGATCTGAATCCTTGACCTTGGTGTTATAACACCTCGCTCTAACCAGCTGAGCTAACTGGACAGCCCTCTGGGTTATTTATTTATTTATTTATTTATTTATTTATTTATTTATTTTTGTCCTTTTTGAGACCAGCTGCACCATGCTCAGCCAGTGAGCGCATCGCACCGGCCATCCCTACATAGGATCCGAACCCGCGGCAGGAGCGCTGCTGCACTCCCAGCGCCACACTCTCCCGAGTGCGCCACAGGCTCGGCCCCTGCGTGGTGTTTTGATATATGGACACATTGTGAAATGATTAAATCAAGTTAATTATCATACCCATTACTCCACATGCTTACTTTTTGAGGTGAGAACATTTAAAATCTATTCTCAGCATTTTTTTTCTTTTTCTTTTTTTATTGAAACATATTGATTATACATATTTGTGAAGTACAGAGTTGAATTTCTCTTAGCAATTTTCAAGTATACAATTATTATCCTGTTGTTTTATGTGTTATTTTTATTTGTCTGATCATCTCAAAAAAGAAAGTAAAATTTCCAACCAATAAATGCACCCAACGCAGAGAAAAGCCCCATTTCCTTAAACCCTCTCCAAAAACACCTCACAGGAGCCCAAATCCTATAGGGCTTTCTAACGCCGTCCTACGGAGATGCCCTATGGTTCCTCATGGTACGCATGTGAATTTATTCAACAACAAGTGCGTTCCTGGTTCCTTCTCCTTTAGGAGAAGGACAGGGACTGACCCCTTTAAAGGATACCTTGGAGGGCCGGCCCATGGCTCACTTGGGAGAATGTGGTGCTGATAACACCAAGGCCACGGGTTCAGATCCCTATATAGGGATGGCCGGTTGGCTCACTTGGGAGAGCGTGGTGCTGGCATCATCAAGTCAAGTGTTAAGATCCCCTTACTGGTCATCTTTAAAAAAAATAAATAATGGGCCAGCCTGTGGCTCACTCAGGAGAGTGCGGTGCTGATAACGCCAAGGCCCCGGGTTCGGATCCCATATAGGGATGACCGGTTCAGTTGTTTTTAAACTTTTAAATGATAAATTTTTCCTCCAAACAAGATCTTTAAAGATAAAATCTAATTTTATTGAAGGGAGAAAATAGAACCTCAGTTCACTTTTTCAAACTTTTTCTCTCTGAGGCCTCAGAGAAATTCTCTATGGCATCCCTATGGTGGTGAGAAGCACAGTGACAAAACCAATGGTCTAAACAAATTAAAAATATAACCACACACAAATCTTGAACTAGATTTCTCTCTTACATTTTCAACCTTAGAAACTCAATATATACAAAGATACAATCTCCATCTCACCCCAAATCTCCCAATAGCAGTTGTAGTTACTTATAGAGGAGATCCAAAATCATATTCTAGTCAATTAAAGTATAATTTAAATATAAAGGTATAAAATTCAATATAAGTTTAAACATAAGAGCTATACTTATATTTCATCATGTTTTGTTTATACAAAAATTCATACTAAAAACTCTGAGCCTTTATAGAAATCAAAATTTAAAAGTTTATTCTTGCTATATTAATTTTTGTGATGCAGTTCCTGTGATGATTATATGGGACCAGTGGGTTGTAACGTTCTTGCTCAAAGGAAAGGACATTGTAATTGTCTTTTCTGGGAATAAACTGTAATCCTATTTTTCTTAAAACATATGCCACTTACAAAGAGATTTTATGATATTGTTCATTGATTATTCTATGATTATGTAGCAAATAAGAAAGAAAAGTATAAAAGTCTGATGCTTGCTTCAATAAATTGTCAGCATTCAGCAGATCCCTTGAGTCTGTGTGTTTGTTGTCCCAGCATTCAACAGATCCTTTGGGTCTGTATGTTTGCTGCCGCTCCATCGCCGACGCTGCCCTTCCTCCCTTTTGGGGGATCCCTTACCAGTGGGGACCTTTACAATCTCTGTGCTGGGGCTGGTCCCCGGCAGGTTAGCTCATTGGGTGAGCGTGGTGCTGATAACACCAAGTCAAGAGTTAAGATCCCCTTACTAGTCATCTTTTTAAAAAATAAAATAAAAAAAAATAATAATAAAAATAAAAAGTAAAGGATACCTTGGAGGTCTGTGAGCCCTGGAATGACATTAAGGGGTACGGTGACTCAGGAATCTGAACCCTTGACCGTGGTGTTGCAGCACCGCACTCTAACTAACTGAGCTAACCGGCCAACTCTCCGGCTGCTTTCTGAAGTGATTACCATTATCCATCCCATTCTCCAGATGACAACACTGAGGCTTGAAGTCAAGTCACTGGTCTGCCTCCCTCAAGCTCTCAGGAGGCCAGGTTCAAACCCAGGACTGCTTCCTGACTTCCTCCCAGTGGCCCCAGAGATACTGGGGTATCATTGTGACAGCATCATCTAGGGGAAGCTCTTCGGGTCATAATGGGCATGGCTGGACCACGTTAGGATGCAGCCTTAGAAGAAAGTGTCCTCTGAGACACCAACACAGAGGGAGTCTGCGGGTCCTGCCTGTTGCCAAGTGCATTTTCCAAGATTCATTAGCCCCCAAGCCATTCCTAGAGGTAGGTACGCTGTCCCTGTTCCTGATGTTTGGAGGAGGAAATTGAAGCTCACAGGAGCTCAATTACTTATTCCAAGGTTACCCGGCTAGTAACCTCAGTTGTCAGATTAGTTCTCCTGTGCACTATTTTGGAATCTTCTCAACTCTCAACTATTTCAGGTGGCAAAACGATCCAAAGAGCAGGCTGGCTGGTTGGCTCGGTTGGTTAGAGCGAGGTGTTATAACACCAAGATCAAGGGTTTGGATCCCTGTACTGCCAGCTGCCGAAAAACAAAACAGACAAAAAGATCTGAAAAGCAACAGATTTATACACTGAAAAAAACATGGTTTTGTTTAAAAACACACACCTTGATACATGTCTCCTAAAGATGTAGACTTGTGGGCTGCAGTGGTCTGGGAGGGCTTCCTGTAGGAGGTGAGCCTGAGAGCCAAGAATGCTGGTGGGCCACTAGGGTCTCTCAGGGTCAGGGAAGAGGGTGGGGGGAAACACCTCTGCTCTAAGCAAAGGCAACAAAGTTCAAGGTGGCTGGGTGGAGGGTTGGAAGCCTAAAGTTGAAGGTCAGACAAAGGGAAAGGGAGGTGTGTTAACCTCAGACTGTTTGAGGACAGGAAAGGATCTGGGAGAACATACAGGTCCACAACAACTGCAGAGGGCAGGAGGACAGCAAGAAAGTGTGTGGCAGGAATGGGAGGGTGGCTGGGGCTGCAAGGCCAGGGTTGGGCAGAGGACAGAAGGGGGTCCCCAGATGGGAAGAAGGGGAAAGCGATGGCCTTGGCGATTGACTGACCGTGAGGAGAAGCGGTTCCCGTATCAGACAAACTAGAATGCAATGGTTAATTCTTTGGATTCTAGAATCAGAGTCAGTCCTGGGTTCAACTCCAGAGCAAATGACAATATCCCTGAAACTCAATGTCTTCAATGTGAAGTACTGGTTAAAATCTACCTCACTGTTACATTTCATAAAAAATGTGCACAGGGCTGGCTGGTTAGCTCAGTTGGTTAGAGTGTGGTGTTATAACACCAAAGTCAAGGGTTCAAATCCCCATAGAGGCCAGCCACCAGGAAATAAATAAATAAATAACATTGGAAAATGTGCACACAGTGAGTGTTCAATACATGCTGGCTCTGGGGACACTTTTTTTTTTTTTTTTCTATAACAACATGTCCCTCTTCTGCTACAACTCCTACCGTGGCTCCCACCACATTCTAAAAAAAAAGCCAAGGTTCTCACCAAGGCTTTGGAGGACCTGGCCCCCTGCCCTTTCCAATCTGATTGCCCATGTCTCTCTGCCTCACTCCCTCTGCACCAGCCTCAGGGCCTTTGCACCTGCTTCTCCCTCTGGTTCAAAACATGCTGGGTTGGGGACACTTTTTTTTTTTTTTTTCTATAACAACATGTCCCTCTTCTGCTACAACTCCTACCGTGGCTCCCACCACATTCTAAAAAAAAAGCCAAGGTTCTCACCAAGGCTTTGGAGGACCTGGCCCCCTGCCCTTTCCAATCTGATTGCCCATGTCTCTCTGCCTCACTCCCTCTGCACCAGCCTCAGGGCCTTTGCACCTGCTTCTCCCTCTGCCTGGAATGCTATTCCCCAGATACCCAAACGTTCCCTTCCCACCTTTTTCGGGTCTTCGTTCAGCTGCCATCTCAGTGAAGCCTTCCCTCACCGCCCTATTTAAAACTGCACTTCTCCCACCCAAGCCCTATCTTTCTGCCCCGTGTGACTTTTTTCCCCCATAGCACTTATCACCCTCTAACTTACTATGCAATTTATGTTATATTTATTTATTATTTTGTCACCTCTGGCCCCGTTATCCATTGCACAAGGGCAGGGCTCTAGGTCTGTTTTGTTAACTTTTGTACCACCTCCTCCATGCCTCCCCCAAGCCTAGAACAGTGCCTAGCACACAGTTGGCGCCAAATGAATGATTTTTTATATCTCTGCTTTCCCCGGGGGCACTCACAGGGGTTCTGCCTGTTTTCCACGATGTCCCCAGCCCCCAGTGCAATGCCTGGCGCACAGAAAGTAGTAAAAGGCACTATTGTCCTCGGCTGGCACTTGTTCAGCCCCGTGTCTCCGCCCCCTCGCAGGTGGCGCAGTGTCCCACGATGGCCTCGGGCGCCCTGCTGCCGTGCCCGATGTCCCGGCTGGACTTCCTCAAGGCCTCGCACTTCCAGGTGGGGCCGGACCCGCGGCTGCACCAGGGCGCCCTGTACTCCACGTCGCACCGGGACGTCCCGG